TGCCCAAAGCAGTTACACACAATTACTCCAGGAAGTTGAATATTACATCTGCTTATTTATTTAGATTAAGGTTTCATGTTTGGTCTGGACTGGGTTTTTTCCCTGAGTTTTGCTGCAGAAGCACCTACACTACTTGAAATTGATGTGTTGTGCTAATGAATAGGTCCAAATGAAAACATCCAAAACTACACAGTTCAGGCCCAAAGCACTGCTTGGGAATTCTAAGGGTTTCATGGTGAAGATGAAAACATGCCATCTGAGTCATTTCTCTACAGCACAGCCAGCTGGGCATCGCTTCCATAGGTACACAGGAGTCCCCAGAGGAGGGGGATGGCATCCTGCAGACGGGCAGGAGCCCCCATCTCGGGTAGTGTGTCCATCCCACAGCAGGGAATAGCAGAATGTAGTGCATGAGAGACCCCCAAGGGCTCTGCTGCCTCACTGCACCCCAAAAAGGATCGGGAACGCACAGTGCACTGGGGTTCTCTCCAACAGCTGGTCCTTGGGGACCAGCCTGGGCAAGCCCACCCAGCTGGTGTCACCTTCTTGGTGGCCTCACCAATGGCCATGCCTCTCAGGAGTTTGGGTTTTCTGGGAATTCTTCACTGGAGGAGAAAAATTGGTCCAGAAGTGTGAGTGAGCAGAGGATGCCTGGCAGCAAGGGCAGCACCAGAAAGGCTGCCAGAAACTGTTGGTGTGGACCCAAGGGTAAAAATTAGGGAGGCTGTGCTTGCTAGTGAACCTCTGGGTTACAGCAGCTTTGGGTGGGCATCTCTGCCCAGGATGTGCAGGTGCCTCCTTTCTGCTCCTGGGCTGCTGCTGTGCCCTGTCACTTCCAGGGTGGCAACCTTAAACATTTTTGCATTCACCTTAACTTACAGTGGCAGAAATTGTTTGTGGTCTGCTTACCTAGATGGAGAACAGAGATTACCCTGGGATCATCCTGTGGCAGCTGTAGCCTTTACACCAAGATGCCCAAGAGGAAATCCTCCTGGAGCGAGGTGGCCGTCCTCCCTGCGTGCCTCAGCTGAGCTGATACAGAAGGTCCAGCACAAACTCCACACGGGAAGTTCAGAACCCTGCAGGTCCTCGTCCTGCTCATGGATCTGAATTCGGACTCGGTGTGTTCATGTAATTCAAGATGAGGTGGGTAAGTGGAAGTCATGGATTTTGCCAGGCCAACTGCTACAGCTGGGAGAAGTAAACAAGATTTGAGTGCCCTGACCCTCCTTCAGGTATGTGCATCTATATATAGGGCTGTCTAAATATACATGTCTATATATAATGTGTGTGCATATAGCTGTGTGGATATATATATGTGCTGAGAAATGGTTTGAAATTGCAGCAATGCTGTGAGATCATCTCTGCTTGCACCAGGCTGTGCCAGGTGTCAGCCAGGCAGGATACGGCCCCTTAAGTGCGCGTCTCTCCCTGTTCCCCCAACCTTCAGCTTCCTCGGAATGCGAAGGTCACTCTCCAGCGTGCCACCCGCTCTGCCTCCTTCCTGCTGAACCCGATCCCTGGGTGTGTGGCCTGGCCAAGTCCCCTGGCCAGAGCCACTCCTGGGGATGGCTGGGGAGTGGTTACCAGGTGGGATTTAGGGGAGTACACAGGTTGGCAGGAGCACTGAAGGCACAGAGGTGCAGGCTGGGCAGGGTGGGTTTGGCCCGTGTCGACTTTTGTAGACGTGAGGTTTTCCCGGTGGCTTCAGGGGCCTCGAGGAGCCCCAGGAGCTGAGAAAAGCAGAATCCGCTCAGAGCTGTGCCGTGTGATGGATGGGCTGTCGCCGCGGGGTCCCCTCCTGCACCGAGGTGCTGTGTGGCAGAGTTGCCTTTGTAATTGGGAAGAAATACGGCTGCCAGAGCTGGGGGGCACCTGGCACGTGTGTGGGTCACTGCGCCCGCAGCAGGAGGCCGGGCTGCGTACCCCCGCCTGGGAACCGCGGGGAATGTTGGGCACGGACAAGGGTCAGAGCTTCCCTGCAGGCTGTGAGATGCTGTCAGGGGGGCTGTGGTGGGGACCCCCACCCCCAAGAGCTGCTCTCAAGGGCGGAGCATGGCTGAGAGCATCTGGGTGGGATGGAGAGCAGCTTTGGCGGCTCGGGGGGCTGCCCTCAGCCCCACTCCCGAGCCCCCCGCCCGAGTCTGGGCTGGGCTGGGCGTGCAGCTGCCGTGTCACCCCCCGAACCCCGGGCGGGGGGCTGCAACTCGACCCTGTCCCCAGGGTCCCGCGGCCCCGTCCCGGCGAGGCGGACAAGTTAATTCCCAGATGGATGCGCCCCCGAGCCCCGCATCTGCCGCGGGTACGGGGCGGGGGGGGGCTGGCGGGGCCGGGCACAGGTGCGGGGCCGCCGCCCGGTTATAAATAGCGGGGAGGGGCAGCCCGGCTCCCCCCCGTGCCCGGTTCCCCCCGCCGGGGCTCAGAGCGGAGCGGGATGCGGCGCCCGCCCTCCCTCCTCCCGCCCGCCGGCACCATGAGCCCGTCCTTCCTCCTTCTCCTCCTCCTCCTCGCCCTGCCCGCCCGCTCCCGGCGGGAGCAGGTGCCCGGCGGGGCGCAGCGGGGCCGCAACGCCCCCACGCCTTCCTCCTCCTCTTCCTCCTCCTCCCCGGCGGCGGCGGCGGGGCCGAGCCGCTTCCCGCGGAGCCGCCCGGAGCGGCGGCGGGGCCGCCTGTACTGCCGGGTGGGCATCGGCTTCCACCTCCAGCTGCACCCCGACGGCCGCGTGGACGGCGCCCACGACGCGAGTCCGCTAAGTGAGTGGGGAACCGGGGGGCCGGGGGGCTGCCGGGGCGGGGGCAGCGGGGCTGAGCATACCCATCCTCATCCCCATCCCTGCAGTGTCCCGAGCCCCGCGGAGGTGACAGAGCCCCTCGCCTGGGGTGAGCTCAGGAGGGCCTCGGGAAGGGGAATCTGGGGTGCTGGGGAGGCTGTGCTCTTTGGGCTCGGTGGGAGCTGCCTGGTTCCCTTTGGGAAGCGCTACCTCCATGTTCCCCTGCCTCGAGGAAGTGAGTCTGTGGGGATGGTGTGAGGGCGTGAGGTCTGCACTCCCACCGTAGCCTCTTGTCAGGCACCTGGGGGGAGGATGCTCTCCCTTTTCTGTCCTTTCCCCGTGGAACTTTTCCATCCTTCCCTCTGCATTCCCATTCTCCCAGCACAGCAATAGGATATATTCAGTTTAAAAATAGGACTGAGGCTGACGTTCCCCTGAGAGAAAGCTGTGCTAACTCATGGCTTATCCTCCAGTCGGAGTTGCCGTGATATCCTGTTAGAGTGAACGAAACGGCAGGCGGGGATGAAAAGTCACTTAAAGAGCTCGAGGGCTTGGGCCCGAGGTGACCCTGGCAGCATGCGAGGCTCAGCTGTTGGGAGCGCTCACGGAGCAGCCACCACATCTGCCCTGCACCAAAGTATTCGGGCCCCGGTCTGCGCTGAGGCCCCACGAGGGAGCGCAGCCCCTGGGCAGGGATGCTGGGAGCCTGGGAATTCTGCTCGGGGCTTCGTGGGCACTGCGGGCATGTGGCCTGGAGGAGCTTAGGGGAAGGGTGGCAAAACAGGGCATCCATGCCAGGGCTGTTTTGGGAGACATGAGTTCGGAAGGGCTGGAAGAGGTTTGATGCCACAGCTGTCTTGCAGGGACCTGGATTATGTGAAGTTACTTTCCTCTTAACCTGAGATTTTCTCCCTGGAAAGGCCACGGTGACACCAGCTCTGCACTTCAGAGTAGAGCCAGCCCTGGCTGGGGAAACATGCTGCTGAGAGGGGCTATGTTGGAGTTTCATGCTGAGGAGCTGTCCCTCATGGGGAAGCAGTCGGCTTTTGGCGAGCAAACCCCAGCTTTGGCCCCTGGGAAATGGGGCTTGACCCCAGGCAACCCCAATAACCAAGAGTATGTCTGCCAGCCAGCAGGGCCACCCCACAAAGGGCAGCAGGTTTTGGAGTGCCCTTGAGGACAGGCATGTGCTGGAGAAGGTATTTACCTTGCTGCAGTGGGGCTGCACAGCCCTGTGGCTTTTGGCCTAGGGCACACGGGGCGAGGAGGGGTGGCCCACCAACCCTGAAAAGTGCCCCCTAGGCCCTTGGTGCTGGGACCTGGGTGCCTCAGGGAGCTGTGCTTCCTCCTTAAAATAAACATGGGAAGTGGTGATCCGATACCTGGCCTCGGGGATTTAACGCGGCTTCAAGTTTGCTCCTGGCATGTTAATCCCATGGCCCTTCGGGGGCCAGGCAAGATGTTCCGTGGGGTCCTTCTTCCAGGCCCGGGGCCACCAACCCCCTGGGGCTGCGGCCCGGCAGCAATGCTGCTTCCCCAGGGTGGGAAGGGCGTGTTGGGGATGTGCTGATCCCGGCTGGAAGGGTTTGGGAGGACGCCTGACCCTCTGCCCCGGGAACCGCACACCGCGTGGGGAGGTGACACGTGTCGGTGCTGTTACTGAGGGATGCTCGGCGGTTGCAGCCCTTCTGTCAGACGAGTTGAAGGGCACACGCCCCCTGTTGGGGGCCAGAGCCCCATCACGCTCAGAAAATTCCCGTTTCTTCCATGGCTGGGCCACGCAGCGGCCCGTTCCTCAAGTCCTGCTGTGAGGGGTGGGCCTGAGGGAGCACCATCGGTACCTCTAGCCCAGGTAGGCTGTGTGACACCTTGACTTCCCGAGTCCAGCATGGGCGGGAGGAGGACAGGCAAGGCTGATCCTGGCAGGCTGGCATAGGCATAGGGGGGCTTTTCCCACTCCCACCCTTGTCAGACATTTCTCCAGGGGTTCTGTCATAGCCCTGCCAAGAATTGTCCCCCAAAGCGCAGCTTTTAAAAAAAACCAAACCCCAGCCACCACCCTGTATCCACCCTGGACCGAATGGAGGTGGCTCTGCAGGGTGGAGGGATGGAGCAGGAACTGTGTGGAGCCAGGGAGCTGAGAAGCAGGGATGTGGGAGAGGAAATGCAAACCTGTCAGACTGAGTTGTATTTATTTTTTCTTTGTCACACCGATGTGAAAAGAACTGTGATTTATTTTGGGATTTCTGTCATCCTAGGTATTTTGGAAATATTTGCTGTGTCTCAGGGGATTGTAGGAATACGAGGAGTTTTCAGCAACAAATTTTTAGCGATGTCAAAAAAAGGAAAACTCCATGCAAGTGTAAGTAAACCCCTCGCTTATCAGTACGTGTTGTTTATTAAAGACCTTGTGACACCTCTGCGTGCCCGCGGCAGCAACGCTCCTGGGCAGGGCCCCACCGTGCTGACCCCCTCGGGCTGCCGGGATGGCTCCGCGCTGGGCGGCATCGGCGCCGCATGGACAGATAGGGGACAGGTGGAGCCGAAGGCCCCCTAGCCCACCTCCCTACTTACTGCATTTAACCATGAAAAGTGCGCTCTTTTTTTTTTTTTTTTTTGTGCAGTGGGGTATTTGCATCAGCGGTGCCTGTTCTTTGAGCACGGCTGGGTTATTTTTAGCCACTTCTGCAGCAGATCGCGCAGACGGCTTTAGCCAAATGTCTCCTGGAGAGCGGCACGAGCGGCGCCGGCAGCCCCACGGCTCGGGCTGGCTTTGCCCCTGGGGACAGATAACCCCAGCAAGAGCTCAGGCAGGTGAGGTCCAGCTTGTGCAGGTGTCTTACAGCTAGAGCGGGAAAATCCCATAACTTGTCTCTGCAGGCTGTTTCCTGGGGTTTCCTGCAGATCTCATTGTCCTTTTCCCAAGCTTTTTGCATTGCATGAGTCCATAAGCTGATCTTACTGCTTGTTGCAACCTCAGGATGTTGCTTCCCAGTTTCTTCTTGTTAGCTCCAGAGATGGCTTAAACAAACGAAATTAATTCCTCTGCTTACATGAAAGTCACTGCCTTTTAAAGGTGTGTGTACATTCACCACCCCAAGAAGGGTGCTTTTAAGGCAGCATGTTGACCCCCAGGGTGGTTCCCAGGGAGTCTGGTCAAGGCTGACAGATGGGGAGAGGGAAAAGCCAGTTGCCCACCCCATGGTTCTGAATCAAACCTCCTGATCATGAAGTGGATGTCACTGATGTGCTTGTGCTGCCTGAGCCCACAGATCACTCCCAGGGAGATTTATGAACTCCTCTGTCTCCCTTGAGTATTATTGGAGTGTTGCTCCTGAAACCTAATGATGCTTAAAGGGTTGAGCACATGGTTGCTTATTTTAGGAAATAAAACAGGAGCAAGAACAGTGTCTAGGGGAAAAGGGGTGGAGGAAAACCTGAGGTGAGGCAATGGGGCAGGAAAGGGGGATAGAGGAGGAGGAGAGGTGAAGGATGGAAAGGAGAGAGAAGCAGGTGGAGTGGGACCCCTGGACCCTCCAGAGCCTTCCCTCTGGGCTTACAATGGGCCCCTTATCCAAGCTGAAGCCTTGATTTATGCCCTGGCGCAGGCAGAAATTAAATCAAACCTCGTTGGTGCGTGGTCAATTGTGGACACACAAAGGGCAGGACCTGAGAGAGACATCAGTCAGGCGGGTCAGGGTGGGGGGGAGGACACACGATGCCCTGCTCGATGAAAGCTGTGAATTTGTAGAAACTTGACCCAAATGTCTAAAGATGGCTGGACTAAACAACGCCTATAATGCAAACCCGGCATCTGTTGTTCTTTCCTGTCCTGGCAGGATGAAGTTATTTCATGGCCTAATGAGTTCTGAGCAGTACAAAGCGCATCCTGCGCCCGTCACTCAGGGCAGCGCTTTGATATGGGAGTCAGGCTGGGGACTTTACACTGAACCACAGACAAAAGTCATTCCTGCAGGAATTTGGGCTTCTTGGAAACCCGCTCTTGGGCCCAGCTCCATACCAGCCTGGTGCTTTACAGATGCCCTCCTCCTTTTTCTGTTTTTTTTTTTCATGGCAACTTAATTAAATTACCAAGCAGTTCATTTTTAGAGGCATCAGCTTCAGAAAATGACAGTAATCCTGGCAATTATCAGTTTTGTGCACAGATGGCTTTTTCCTCGTTGATAAATCCTTGCTCCCATTTGTCCATTTTTAGCACGGAGGGGGTGGGAGGGGTTTTGTGCCTGTCTCGGCAGGGGCCAGCACGGACCCCAGGGGACAGATTTGCCCAGGTAATTCTCCCTTCCCAGGAACCGTCACAATGCTGCGATCCTCGCTGGGGCAAATCTCTGCTCAATGGGATTTTGAAATTTAATTGACTTCAAGATTGCTCTTTGTGATTGTCTCTGGAGGTCTGCAGAGCAAATCTGATGCCAGCCATGTGTCGTGGCTGCACCACCCACCTTGTGCTGGGGAAAAATGGCTGGGGAAAAGTGGCTGGAACGGTGAGGGGATGAGCTGAGAGGCCAATATGTAGGGAAGCCTGACAAGGTCATGGTGGAGCAGCAGCTGATGCACTTCCCAGTCCAGAGCGAGGGCTTCCTTCTGCACATGGGGTGTCCTGTCTGAGCACTGGGGCTTCAGGGAGAACCTGAGGTCAGCAAAGCCTTGCTGGGGAAGGTCAATGTTTGTGCATGGGGGATGCAGAGTGAAGGGTGTATG